CCATAACTCTCGTTCAGCTCGTTCTCGAATATTCTAACCTATGTCGAACTAGCACCGTTCACCAATCTTACACGTTTTGCCCACTAAAGGGGTTATGTGCTTTTTTCATTCTATTTATATTCTCTTACTTTATACTTCCTTTTAATCGGTATTTATCTGATTATTTGTCCCAAACACAGAGGCACAGAAAATAAATAAATAAATCTGAAAACTTTCAGATTTTATATTACGCCGAAAGGGGCGTTTTTAACGTATTGAGTGTTACTTTTATTTATTAAATATCATGTTCTCCGCACAGATAATAGATAATAAAGCAAATTCTAAACTCCAAATTTGGGCTTCCAAATGCCTATATTCGAGTGAAAGACTACGTTATTCAAAGTTTGATGTCTCTAGTTACAGTTGTTTTGTCACAATGCGAGAAACATACATACATTCATGCAGATTCATTCATTATTTAATTTCTTTAAATATAATGCAGGGCTCTAATATTTGGTAGCAACAATTCGAAAAGTGAAACACCGTTTATAGTGAGCCAACGCAAAATGCCAAAACGGAATTAATAGCCCTTCTGGGCAATTTGTCTCTTTGGGCTAATAATAAAATAAAATAAAGTAGTTGGCAGTGAATGAATTTTTTTATTTGCGTATTTAACAACTATCCTATTAGATCATTTTAAATAACAATTTAAACTGCTAGGTGACTAAGAAAATAAAATTCATTGCATTGAAAGCATCGAAGTTGGCATGCTCTCTACATTATTCAAAAAAAAAAAAAAATGCTTAATATTTTTGCTGTATTTATTGACTTAATTGAAATTCGAAATTAATGTAAAAAACAACTACTCAAAATTAGTTTAAGGTGTTTCCTTCCCTCTTTCATGTATTATTTAGATAATAAGTAACAAATCTCAAAATTAAATACCCAACTTATTTTTTTTAAATACTTATATTTATTTAAACACTATGCTTGGTTCGAAACGAAACGGCTTTTTCTTCTTTAGTGATATTGAGCTTGATAGCTTGAGGGAAAGTGGGACCAGATGCGGATTCAAAGCTGTAATAGAACAAAAGCTTTACGACTTGAAAGTGTCCCCTAACCTTCGAAGTATATCCCCGCCGCTTATTAGCTGAGGAAGGATGATTTTTCCTGATCTTACTTCTAAATGGATAATCGTAAACTTTCCGTCCATTTTTTGTTAATCACATGAATATTTTGGGAAGTTGGGATGCAATAGTTTTAAAAAAGTCTTATCTATTGAAAATTAATTAGCACTTTTTTTTTATAGTGGTGGTAAGTGGGGTGGGGCGCCCACTGGCTAAGCGCCTAGGCAATCCACTTTTTGTGATGCTAGTCTAACATTGGTGCAGTAGTCTATTAGGTTTCGAAATAAATAAAACTTTCCTGTGATGCTTGTCAGCGCGCTGGAAAAGGAAATGACAAAAAGAAGGCTCCAATGACATTAGTACCAGTAATTTCCGAAATATTCACTAAAATAAATGTCGATGCCGTTGGTCCGCTACCTATTTCAAAGACTGGAAAAAAATATATTATTACAGCTCTGTGTATGTCGTCCAAATATCCAGATGCTGTTGCGGTGACAGACATTTCTTCGCCATCTGTGATTGATGCTTTCTTACAGATTTTCAGTCGTATGGGTTTCCCAAAAGTGATCCAAACAGATCAGGGGACCTCTTTCGTCAGTGCTTTGACAGAGGAATTTTTGGAGCGTTTCGGCATTAAACATGTAAGAAGCTCTGTGTATCATCCGCAGAGTAATCCCGTTGAGCGATTCCATAGAACGCTAAAAAGGGTGTTAAGAGTCGTATGTATAGGAGCGACTTCGGATTGGGAGAATTATCTACCATCAGTTCTTTTTGCTCTCAGAACAGTCACACACGAAAGCACTGGTTTTACACCAGCAGAATTAGTTCATGGCAAAAACCTACGAACGCCAGTCACTTTACTTTATGAGCAGTGGCTAGAACCGATTGAAGAAAGTAATAATGTTGTCAGTTACGTTTTCGAACTTATTAATCGAATGAAGAAATGCCAAGAACTTGCCGTGGAAAACATGAAAGAAGCTCAACAACGGAGGAAAACATGGTACGATCGAAACGCAGTGAAAAGAGAATTTGCTAGAGGAGATTTAGTTCTTGTTTTATCAACGAATCGTCAAAATAAACTAGAAGTACAGTGGAAAGGACCTGGAAAAATAGAGCAGAAAATTTCAGAAACCAATTATATTGTAAGTTTCGAGGAACAAAATGAGCCAAATCAAGTATATCACATTAACATGCTTAAACCATATTACAAAAGACCAGAAATGATTAATATGATAACTGAAGTGGAAGGAGACTTAGAAATGGACATTCCTCGTTTACCTTCCAATCCAAGTATATTAAATTTCTCGGACATCATAGAGGAGAATGAACTCGAGAAAAGGTTGAAATCCGAGCAAATAGAAGATTTACGAAAGATTTTATGGAAATATTCTGGTTGTTTTTCAAATAATCCTGGACTAACAAACTTAGTTTGTCACGATATTGAGCTATTAAATAACGAACCAATACAAATAAAGCCATACAGACTGTCACCCCGACAGACTGAAATTCTCAAAAAGGGAAATCCACAGAAAATGCTCGATCTTAAAATTATAGAGCCGGGAGAATCGGACTATACATCTCCCATGATTTTGATAGAATCTTCATCAAAGGATCCTCGGCCTTGTATTGATTATCGTAAACTCAATGCTGTTACTAAAACTGAATACTATCCTTTGCCTAATATTGAAGAACGTATCGAAACTGTAGCAAAAGCAAAATATATTACCCTATTAGATTTATCTAGAGGCTACTGGCAAATTCCGTTAACAGAAAGAGCCCAAAGATATGCAACATTTGTAACTAGTTTTGGAAGTTTCAGGCCTCTACGTTTACCCTTTGGATTAAAAAATGCCCCATATTTTTTTAGCAAAGTTATGACTAAAGTCCTGGCTGGATGCGAAGGTTTCGCTGTACCATACCTGGATGACATTGCCATTTACTCAGAAAACTGGGAAGAGCACCTTAAAAACTTAACTTCTGTTCTAGAGAGAATACAGAAAGCAAACTTACGCTAAAAACCATCAAAATGTAAATTTGCACAAGATCAAGTGAGATACCTAGGCCATGTTGTGGGACAAGGACAACGAACCCCGGATGAAGTAAAGATCCTGGCTGTGAAGGAGTATCCTACACCTAAAACCAAAACAGAAGTACGTGCTTTCTTAGGACTGGTAGGGTATTATCGCCAGTACATACCGAGATTTTTGGAAATCTGGCACGAAAAATGTAATTTATTTTTAAACGTTAGAATTCTTTTTTCTTCTTGTTTTGTATGTCGCCATTTTGAGTGCTAAATAAAGTTTTTTCTGTGTTCCATCATTGGAGTTGCTTCATAATTGCCAAAGAAGTATCACACTATATTTAACTTCAGACCTTTAACATTTACATACTTGGATCTAGGAGAACCATAATCTTTGACCCCTGGTCACTTCTTAATAGGAAGACAGTTACTATCATTGCCGCAAGGAAGCTCTAAATTAACTTCAACAAAGGAGAATCTTACACTTCGATTTAGACTTCAACAAATACTGCTAGAAAAAATCTGGAGAAAATGGAGACAGGATTATTTGATGAATTTAAAATCTGCTCATCATTCCAAACTGGCGAAAACAGAAACCTGTTTGAAGAAAGGAACTATTGTATTAGTGCATGAAGATAAAATTCCAAGGCTGATGTGGAAGATGGGCATGATAATGGAAATCTTTCCTGGAAGAGATGGCAAGGTGAAAGCCTGTGCTGTCCGCTTTCCCAATGGCCATACGATTAAAAGACCAGTGCAACTACTATATCCAGCGGAGCTAGAGTGTAATAAGGACAATTACAGCAATTGTCCTTCCGGGCCGGAGGATGTTGCAGCTCAACTCTTGCTGAGATCCGATGGCTGAGTGACGTCACCTCCAACTATAAACTCTCGCTCAGAGATCGCACCAGAACTTGGAATGGAGAAGTTGCACGCTACGTCTTGCCAAATTTAAACCCTACCCTTTTTATTATGTAAATATTCTGTAACCCATTTTGCGTCTTCATTAAAATATGTTTGTGTAAAGATTGTATTTATCATTTTATGGATTGTTCCCTTCAAAGATTGCAGCTAGAGATGGGAAGAGGAGATCAATTCAACCAGTGGTCCTGGCAGAACCCATTGGGAAAAAGTAAGCAAGTAAGTAAGTAAAGTAAGAGTTTTTTTCCCTTCATTAATTAGTTAGAAGGGTAAACTAACACTAACAATAACGATAAGGAAATAAATAAATAATAAGGCCTTAGTTCCCGGGACTTCTGCTAATATGAGTACTTCTTATAATACTCATCATGGTGTCAATGAACTGTGATATTAAACCACAATGCGAAAGCAATGTTAATGTTTATGTATCTTTTGAGAAAGAGTCATCTGCATACTATTAAAGAACGCAGTTGCTGATAAAAATTTACAAATGGTTTCTGAGAATATACTAATATTAGCACACAATAAAAAGGATTAAGAAATTTTGAAACTAATCGCTAGGAAATCTTTAAAAATAATTAAATGCTTAATTTTGTAAACCACAAAACTTGACTTGCAAACAGCTGCAAGAATTGGCAGCCAAAAAGATCTATGACATTCTATCAAGAACCTAACTCATCATTTAGCGACACGTAGCTGTAAATGGTATAAAATGTGCTATAAGAAGCTAACTATAAAATCTCAGTAATGTAATCTTAGTACTCAGCTTCTTCAACACTAAAAGTGTTGAAGAATCAAATAATTACAAAGTAATGAAAAAAAGTAGTTGGAAGAAGAAAGAATGAAGAAAAGAATATAGCTAATGTAACTCTCTGGAAGAGAGCAACCGCAGTCCATTATCACGAATTTTGAATAAATCATTAATATTTCCTGAATAAATATTTCAAACTTACCCTCCATAAAATCCTCCAACGTATTTGTAATCAGCTACATAAAATCTCTTGCATTTCTTTTCCACACATTTATCATCTTCTCCGGTATACGGATCACATTGATCTGGAACAACACCGAAATCTTGAGCATATTTTCCAGCAATTAAGTATGGGAAGCCACCTTCACAACCTGAAAAATTTTGATACCTATATATAAGAAACACAAGGTAATAAATAGGCAAAAGATATTACCAGATATGCGGTGGCAAAACTACGCTATCGAGGGCCGGGGCGGAAATCTTCCTAGTGGACTCCTTATTGGAATGGTCAAAATTCAAAATGTCAACATAAATATACAATTAACATTTATTTAATTAAAATTAAATAGTTAAAATGATTTGGAGAAGAAAATATCTTAGGATTAAACTTACATCTAGCATATAAACTTATATTTAAAAAAGCTTATTAATCTGCCTTTTTTGATGATTTTGAGTCAATAAAAAATGTTAAAACTGTTTTTGCGAGCTTTGAATTTTGAAAATGTTTTTATAGCTTCATTAAAGTTATTTAGCTTCTGCATTTTCAGTCGATATGATTGTCATACTTAATCCTTATTCGGCTCATTGATCGAACTTTAAACAGCTTGAATTTTGAAAAGCTTCTCTCGCAAGAAGTAACAGAAATACATTCTGTCAAAGAAGAATTTTAGTGTCAAATATAAATTAGGGATTAATTTTTGGGAGTTCATTTCCACAGTAAACTTTAATATTTTCAATGCCGGTCGCTTTTCAGCATTTCCTTTTTTAAATTCTTATGTTTAGGTAAATTTGTTTAAAACGTTCTGAGGCTTCCAATCTAATCAGAGGTCCGGGGATATCGGGCCCCTTTCTGGGTACACTCTTGCAGATATATATGAAAACTGAATATAAATCAAAGACAAAATGGATATTATCAATATGCATCATAATAGATGCTTTCAAATTTTCTTGAAGCATTTTAAATGCTGGTACAATATTCTATTACCTTTATATCTGTACTTATAATTTTGAAAATAAATTTTATTGCGTTACCGGCTGAATTACTTTATTGATGAATGAGAAGGAAGTGAAACTATTTAATCAAACTATCCATCAGCGAACATCAATACACTGCAGCAAACAGGTGACTGATTGGCTAATTAATTCTGCCGAACTGAGAGCTATGTCCCACCAGCTGTCGAATGGTGAAAGCCGCTGAATGCTAATAGTTCGGTCCAGGGCTCGAATCTCAAAGAACGCGCTGGCCGTATGGGCATTGTTATCCCCTTTGTGTAACGTATATACGATTCATTTTCCCTCAAATAGTCCTCCAAGGGGCAATCGTCTTTTTCCGTATAGAGCCTAATGATGGAGTACGTAATATATTTTTTTCCAAAGGAAATGCTATGTGCCTTAGGAATGCATTCACAAAGAATTTTTTAAGAGAAAATGGTTTGTATCCATGTAACGTATGAGAAAATTCATGAAAACCTCTGTTAGATAATCAGGAATGAGCTACTAAACGTTACAGGATTTTAACCAGTTTAGGCTACTGACGAGCCACTCTGCAAATGGTGCACAGGTCGTTTATGCGACATTTGAAAACTTTAATATGTTAGGGAGCAGTAAAATCTTTAATTACTTCACGGACCACCAGTGGTAGAATTTATAGGGTATTTTTCCGCTTTGAAAGTCTTTTCTTGCAACCGTACGACTAAGATGAAGTTTAGTTAGATGCTACGCAGTTTTCTAAATAAAAATCCGATTGCGTACGTTAATATTATAAGGTATTTCTCCCACTTTCCGAGCGTGCCTTCATGGTGTAACGATAGCACGCTGTGCCGGTATTCCAGAGGTCTTGGTTCGATTCCTGGCGAAGGCGGTTGCATAAATTTCATCTTTTCTGCTTCCAATTAACCTAATGACTCTACAATATGAATTATCAAAAGCTGAAATATACCTTATCTCAACAAATAACATAGGAGCTTCGAGTTACAATTTTGCTTTAGTTACGCTCTATGAGTTATAAATTTCAATATATATATATTTAATTATTTTTATGTTAGAACCGCCTACAGCTTAGTATAGTCATACTACCGTTTTCAGCTTTTTTTTAAAATTGAAACTATAGATTACTTTATTAACCGAGCAATTTCAGAGCAATACGTACATTTCTGAGCAATTTATATCATTATTATATTAATAATGTTTGCAACTAATATAGTTTATAACAGATCTAATTTATGTGATTTATAATATAAGATCAACAGAGTGAAACAAAGAAATCAAGCCTTTTCTTTCTCTCTATATATATACCGTATTTGACGGCATATAAGACGCACTTTTTTTCTTAAATTTGGTCTCAAAAAAGTTACCTGCGTCTTATACGTGAAGGTAATTGCATTCAATAATTGTTTATTTGGCTTTTACGAAACGTGAGAACTAAAAGAAACCACGCTATTGAAACTTTATTTTTTTGTGTGTGGCCGTCTAAATAAGGGTGCGTCTTATATGCCAGTGCGTCTTATATGCCGTCAAATGCGGTATGTATATACACACACACACAGTCATACACATACGCACATACACATGCAGGAAGGGACTTCAGCTTATGTGATAGCGCAAGAAAAATATAAAAATGTCATTTACAATTCCATAAAATTCAATTAATATTATTTTCGACAATAAAAAGAAAAAAAATTACCTTGAGAATATTCTGAACAACTGACGATTTCTTGTGGAGAAAATACAACTTGAACTTTGTTGTTTGTAGCAATTCTTAAGCGGGATTCGAGCATGCCCATTGATGCAAATGCATAGCAACTTCCACAATTAGCTACAGAAATAAACGCCGAATAAAAACTTTACACCATTAAATTAAGTGATATGAAAATATTGAAAGATATACAAATAATGCTGCAATGCGATAAAACTTAAGTTTAAAGATTAACCATTTAAGAATATTCTCCAAGGAAACCAAAATATTAAAATATTTTGTTGCAATTCAAAAATAAGAGCATAAAAAAGAACTTTATCAAAAGAATGTTGATTTTACTCATGTAAAAATTATTTAAAATACCAAACGCAGATGTGAACAAAAATAACAGCTAAATCAAGCGTTATGTTGTTGTTACATATCCTAGCTGGACTAGACCATTAGACTAGACCAGATCCATGAGTCCAAGAACCAGACCAGATTCATGAGTCCAAGAACAGTCAATAAATCGATAACGAAAGTAGGCGTTTTCAAATGATTCTTTTTTACAAATCCCAAACAGATTAGAAGATGTTCAGGTGTGAAATGATCAATATTATATTTCCTACAGATGTGGGTGGATGTTATTTACCCGAACAAATCTAAGGCATTTCAGGGGGTCTACTTAGGAGTCTTGACAAGGCAGTCTGCTGAGTCCGATTACCGCCAAAAGAAATAGCACCTCCCGGCTGCCTGCCAAAGTGCAAGTCATGAGTCGGAGGAGAATGCTAGGAAGAGGCAACAGTAGATTTGACTCTCAAGCAGATCTCCAAAACGGTAAGAGTGCCAGAGGTCAGAGTCATTAAAGTACCTTTCTTAGCTAGGGCATCAGCCATTTCATTACCGTCGAGGCCAGCATGTAAAGGAATCCGTTGTAGATGTACATTAGGATGGAAAGAGAGTTTTGCAGCAAACCCAAAATAGATAGTGAAGTCTTAGCACCAAAACGAGGCCAGTTTTGCAGATGCTGGATATAACTGCCCCTGTCAAACAAAATCCAGATATTTTTATAGGCAGTGCAAGTGTATGCAACCTTAAGGCCCTCCTCAGTTGTATAAGCTTAGATGAGAAACGGAATATTGATCAGGGTTTCTAGTCTTAATATTAAAGTTATTAATAGGTTTTCTAATGAAGATTCCACTACTGCAATTCCCGTATTCATTTTTACTGCTGTCAGTGAAATTCTAAAGGGCATTAGAGGGAAGGCCATTTAAAGTATCCAATGGAATCTGCCGAAAATAATATGGTAAATCCGTTTTTTGTTGATATAAGAGTTTTAAGTCTGCGTGAAAAGAGTCTCCAGAAAATGATTTCCATGGGTTAATAGTAAGTTTCAGTGAGTATCTCTCAGAAGTTGTCTCTATTAAACCCATGAAATAAGCCAAAGAAAAGGGCTGTCTCTTATTAATCTTTGTTTAAAAACCCAATCATGAAGAAGTATCGAGTTATGAGTACACTAACTGTATAGATTTTTGTACTCAGAACCGTCAGTATTTTCACACTTTAGTTTCGCGTCTCAAATGCAGGGTGATTATAATTAAAGTTGCGATTTCAAAACGCTCTAGCTTTAAAACTACTTGTCATAATGCCTTAATATTTGACTAGAACAATCATGAGGCAATGGAATTTTGTTTGGAGAAGGAAAAAATAGTTTCAAACTATGCCGATAGAGGGTGCTGTCAGGGTTCACATTGCTGTCGGTATGCAAATTACTGAGATGTAATATGCGCACTGAAGATATGGCTGAGATAAAAATGCACATCACTCTAACGACACACATAACATTTTGCCTGAGTGCTTCATCATGACTCTGATGAAAAAGGATAGTACTCTCCTTGTGAAGCATTCCTATCAGATTGGTGACTTTACGTAAACAGCTATCGGGGAAGCTCCGGACATTAAAAGACATAAAATCCGGCCCAATGACCACATACGTCTTGCGGAAAATGATAGATAAATTCGAAGAGACTGGTTTATTTGACGTGAAACGAGATAGATGAAGAAAACCAGTTTCGGTGGCGGCAGGGGAAAATGTAGCCACAGAGTTACAAGAACTGACAAACAATGATGCAAGAATCAGCAGTGCACCAGGAACTGCCCGAATGTTCGATATGCCTATCAGCACAGTGCGTAAAGTCCTGCGGAACATCTTGCGCTGTTATCTGTATAAGATAACCCACGTGCAGCAGTTGCTATCTGCTGACCTGGAAACACGTGAAACGTTTGCACTACAATTTCTTGCCCAGACGGAAGCGGATAATGAATGGCCTTGGGACATTCCATGGTCTGACGAAGCTCATTTAAATTTACAAATTTCTGTAAATACCCAAAATTGCAGGATATAAGCGGCCGAGAATCTGTTACAGCTATTGTTACAGAATCCATTATATCTTCACTCATAAAAGTTCACTGAGTGATGCAAAATAACGGTAGCGTTTGCCGTCAGTCAGTTTTTCTTCGAGGAGATCACACCTGTGAGTCCCGTTACCTGCGCTATAACTGGCAAGCGGTATGAAGCACTTTTGCGTAATCATGTTCTTCCGGCACTTCAAAAACGTCAATGTTTGGATCGCACAATATTCATGCAAGATAGAGCTCCTCCACACTAGTCTTGTGAAGTAGCTGCTGATCGCTCATTTCGGAGATGATAGAATCATAAGTTGCCATTTTCCAACAGAGTGGCCGCCACGCTCTTTCGACTTAAACCTGTGTAACTTTTGGCTTTGGGGATATCTGAAGAATGTTGTTTACAGCGGGCGGATTGTGAAACTGGCCGAATTGAAGGTAAGTATCAGGCACCATATTCATAGCATCAGTACCCTCCGATCTGTCGTGGAACATCCAGTTTTGCTCTTCAAATTAGCAGCGGAACAAGAAGGAGAGCGTATCGAACAACTTATGAATTGATCATCCGTAAGGTGTTTGTTCTGTGAAGCTTCTCTTGTCACTATAGCTGTTTTCTCTGTAAATACGTATTCTGGTCTTTTCGCTAATAAAATTGTCCTAAACCCTATGAGTCTATTGTTTCCTTTCGGTAATACATCCACAACAGCATTCTGAACACTGACAAGGTCATCTATCGACAAATTTCGAACTATTTTTTTCCTTCGCTAAACAAAATTCCGTTACCTTAGGATTGTTCTGGTAAAATATGAAGTCATTCTGACCTGTATTTTTAAAGATAGAGCGTTTTGAAATCTCAGCTTTAATTATAATCACCCTGTATAACGGTTGTATATCACATTCGAAGAATGCTATTTCAGCCAGCAGTTGGACGGGCTGCACTCAGTTGTGCACGCTCAAGTTTATCCAATTTGGTGGGAGAACCACAGTAGTAGATCTTCGAACCATATTCCAAAATGGGTCTTATAATTGACATGCATGTAGAAAAAATTTTCAGAATAGGTGAATCCTTCCTCCCTCACTCAGTAAAGTCTAATTTTCAATTAGTGATAAAAAGGTCCACAAAACATTTAGATGTTAAATTGTATTTTAATTACAATTTAACAATGTAAATTTAACAATGTACAATGTTAAATTGTATTTTATGGTGGGTGGCAAAAACTTCCACTTCAGAAATTATAGCATTGATATCATTTTCAGTCACTCCAATATCTGGACCAGAGTTCCATATAAATAAATCATCAGCAAATAGTTCAGCTTCACATCTCTGGATAATAACTGCCTCAATCCCTGCCGAGTATAATGAGAAATATATTTCATAATTATTATAGCATATGCAATTTTTTAAATCTAAATTATTTTTAATTTAATTTTAGACCTTTAAACACAATTATTTTTTTAACTTGCAAAATGTGCTTGCGAACTTTCAGAAAATTTTGATTCACCAGACGTTTAGCATCTGGTTTAGAAAAAGGAAAGAAAGAAACTATGTTTCTAAGCTAGCAATTTGGCTAGTCAGAACTGCCTGAATCAAAAATTAGGGAAACTCTTAAGACTGTTTTAAATGCTGTCAATATATCGGTTTTTTTCACTGAAGGCAAAAGAAGAAAAGAATCCATTTACATAAAATATAATATAATTACATAAAATATACGTATGGAAAAGCTAACAGATAAAGCAAAGAGAACTAAAAATAAGAAAAGAAGGGTAGGGAAAAAAGAGAAAAGATCAATTTTGAAAACACAATAAATAAATAAAATCTGAAAGCTTTCAGATTTTACTTTACGGCCAAAGGGACTTTTTTTTTAAATTTTTTTTGTTACCTTTATTAATTAAATATCATGTTCTTCGTAATTAAACGATAAAATTCTATTCAACAGCAATATCGCAAAATAATTTTAAAATGAGTGCATTTTTGGAATTCCCAAGACAAAGCCTCAAGAGCTGGAGATATTTTTTTTTTCCCTGAAGGATTATTAATTTCGTTTTGGCATTTTGCGTCAAAACCTTTAAAAGGCTGTATCACTTTTCAAATCGTTGCCACCAAATATTATCGCCCTGTATTATATTTGAAGAAATTAAATAATGAAGAACCTGCATAAATGTATGTATGTATCTCGCATTGTGATAAAACAATGGTACCTAAAGACATATACATTTTTGAAAAATGTTGTATCTTTTGATGCAAAAAAATTGAACCAGTGCTTGTTTGATATCTTCTTCATTTTCGAATCTTTTGTCCTTCAAAAAAATTTTGTAAGGACAAGAACAAGTGATAGTCGAAAGTCGCTAAGTCCGGGGACAGTTCGTGGATGCAACCGAATTTCCCAGTTTAGTTCTGCAAATTTTTGACGAGTCTCCAAAGCAGCATGTGGCCTGGCATTATCATGATGCAGTATGATATCATTCCTATTGAACATTGCCGGCCTCTTTTCTTGAACTGCTGTCTTTAAATTATCCAGTTGCTGACACTACTTCTCCGAATTGAGCTTTTTGTTCGGATTTAAAAGCTCATAATGTATTGGTCCTAGATTGTCCCACCATACACACAAACAATCTCCCTTATTCAGAGTTAAATTTGGTTTAGATGTGGAGGGACTATGTTTTTCAGGTTCACAATAAGCCCTTTTCTTTACGTTGTTTTCGTAGGTAATCCACTTCTCATCCCCAGTTATTAT